TGAGCCTCCTTGCTCATCTGCTGAGTGGTCAGTACCACAGGGAGGTGCAGAAACAATGGCTGGGCTACTTTCACAATTGGCGTGATTTTACTGACAATGGATACGAACCTCACGTGAAGTCCAGTGAGTGGACTCAGATGGTTCTGGAGGGAGGGTCCAAAGGTGGTTGCGATATTTGTATTCGTCTCCCATCTCTATCTAGAAACCTGAGGCTATGAAAACCTGCTCTAGAAACAGGACAACAGTAACCACCAGTAGTTAAAAAAAACACACATCAGAGATACAGAATGGATTTTAGTCTTTTAAGAGCCATTAACAGCTTAAAGCCTACATATATATTCTGTGCTCAGGTTTCTGCAAGGCAATCATAAATCATACCCTATTTTTTATATTTTTAAAATTGAAGAAAATAGGGGAGGGCACCCAACTGGCTGAAGAACCTTGGAGACTGCTTTGGATATAGCACATATTTATGATTTAGAGCACCCGCATCCAAAGTCAGTATATCCATGACAATATTAAACCACTGGGGGTGGTGGGTTCAAGATTTCACAAACAGTGCCAAGGTTAAACACCAAGGTTTCTTCTAAGCCAGGCATGCATGCAGGTGCGTGCAACTCTACCTCACTCCATGCACCTCTCTTTCTCCTCCGCACAGCAATCGCATTTAACTCCTTTGGTTTTGGTCACAACAGAACCCTGCGTGCAGGTGGGGTGGTGAGCTGCACATATGCAGGGGTTAAGTTGCACGAGAGAAAGAAACATAGCTCTGCCCAGTGGGACTGAAAATTAGAGAGTAACCACCATTTCACGCAAACCAATTTTGTGATTTTTGAAGCTTTTTTCTTTGGTGTTATTATTTTGGAGAAGCAGATAAACCATTCTTTTAAATGTTAGGCCACCTTTTCTCTATTAAGCATTCGAAAGCAGGTGACTATTAGTAAATGAAATTCTAAGTCTACATAAACTAAAGACATTCACACTGCACTTAAAACCTCTACTTGAAACTAAACCTGTGAATAAAATCTCAGTTTTGTACATTATCTCAACTATGCCTAATTACATTATCTTAACTATGGAAGTGGAAGTCCAATGCTGCAAAGAAAAATACTGCACAGGAACCTGGAATGTAAGATCTATGAACCTTGGGAAGCTGGAGGTGGTCAAACAGGAGATGGCAAGAATAAACATTGACATCCTGGGCATGAATGAACTAAAATGGACGGGAATGGGTGAATTCAATTCAGATGATTATCATATCTACTATTGTGGGCAAGAATCCTATACAGTAGAAGAAATGGACTAGCCCTCGTAGTAAAATAAAAAGAGTGGGGAAAACTGTACTGGGATACAATCTCAAAAATGATAGAACAATTTCAATACGAATCCAAGGCAGACCTTTCAACATCACAGTCATCCAAGTTTATGCACCAACCACCAATGCTGAAGAGCCTGAAATTGACCAATTCTATGAAGAATTATAACACCTTCTAGAACTGATACCAAAGAAAAAGGTTCCTCTCATTATAGGGGACTGGAATGCTAAAGTAGGGAGTCAAGAGATAAAAGGAAAAACAGGTAGGTTTGGCTTTGGAGTTCAAAGCGAAGCAGGGCAAAGGCTAATAGAGTTTTCTCAAGAGAACAAGCTGGTTATCACAAATACTCTTTTCCAACAACACAAGAGGTGACTCTACACATGGACATCACCAGATGGGAAATACCGAAATCACACTGATTGTGTTCTCTTCAGACAAAGATGGAGAAGCTCTATACAGTCAGTAAAAACAAGATCTGGAACCGATTGTGGCTCTGATCATCAGCTTCTTATAGCAAAATTCAAACTTAAACTGAAGAAAGTAGGAAAAGCCACTGGGCTAGTCAGGTATAATCTAAACCAAATCCCTTATGAATATGCAGTGGAAGTGAAGAACAGATTTAAGGAACTAGATTTGGTGGATAGAGTGCAGGAAGAACTATGGATGGAGGCTCGTAACATTGTACAGGAGGCAGCAACAAAAACCATTCCAAAGAAAAGGAAATGCAAGAAAGCAAAATGGCTGTCCAATGAGGCCTTACAAATAGCAGAGTAGAGAAAACAAAATGCAAGGAAGATAGGGAAACTTACAGAAAATTGAAGGCTGACTTCCAAAGAATAGCAAGGAGAAACAAGAGGGCCTTCTTAAACGAAGAGTGCAAAGAAATAGAGGAAAATAATAAAAAGGGGAAAACCCAAGATCTGTTCAAGAAAAATGAAGATATTAAAGGAACATTTTGTGCAAAGATGGACATGATAAATCACAAAAATTGTAGGGACCTAGCAGAAGACATCAAGAAGAAGTGGCAAGAATATACAGAGGAATGATACCAGAAAGATCTGGATGTCCCGGACAACCCAGATAGCGTAGTTGCTGACCTTGAGCCAGACATCCTGGAGAGTGAAGTCAA